GGGAGGGTGAGCATCTCCGTCCTGTCTTGTTAATGATCTTTCTGCTTCCCCCTGTCTGGCGTCTCTGATGCACTCCCCGCAGCAATTCTGGTATTTAGTTCACTCCTGTGCAAGACATCTGAGTTGATGTTGAAATGGTCTGTAAATTCAAGAGGAATACACTCACAGTCACACTTGGGCTTCTACACACACACACACACACACACACACACACACACACACACGTCCAAAGGCTGTGACTGGCCATAGACTTGATGCACTCAGCATCAGCAGCCTGCCAGGTGTCATTTTCTGCCCTTTAGTCTCCTCCTGGGTTTCTGCACCACTACCCCTCTCTCCAAGCCTCCTTCCTCGCCGATTCTCCATCCCTCCAACAACGCTGCACATTCTCACTTCCCGGACTTCATGGAATCCTTTGCCTAAGTTCCGACCCTGTACAAGAGGGCCTCCCGTGGTTTGTGGGGAAAGATATAATGGAAAGATAACGAAACTTCTATAGGAGCAGCGGTAAAGAAAACCAGCACAGTAGTGCATTGGACAAGTCTACTGTAGAGGGCCTCTGGAAAGTATTAGACAGCAGATGGGCCACCTTGAGGACTACACTGTTCCTGGCCCAAGCCATGATAAATCACCTCATGCCATGCTCCTTTGATCCTTCAATGGGAGGATGGTGAGACTTCATCTCACCCACTTTGGACACATATCTGAAGAGGGCTAGTCCCCTGGAGAAGGCTATCAGGCTTGGTCAAATAGAGGTCGGTGACAGTGAAAAAGACGAAGACGTCTGGTGAGATAGACTGAACTGCTGCCGCAATCATGTGCTCAAACACAGCAACAATGGGGAGGCTGGCCTAGGAACAGGCAGAGTCATTCTGAGCCGGAACCACCTCCACGATCCCTAACAACAACTGCAAAAATAGTAGCTATAACTGTGGGTGACTGCCCCTGGCCCTCTAGATCAGTGAAAAAGAGAATCAATGTTAAGGATAAAGCGATTCCACTGAAGACAAAGCAGATGCATAAGAAAGCTGATGGTGCCCAGCTATCAAAAGATACAGCGTCTGGGGTCTTAAAGGCTTGAAGGTAAACAAGCAGCCATCTAGCTCAGAAGCAACAAAGCCCACATGGAAGAAGCACACCAGACTGTGTGATCATGAGGTGTTGAAGGGATCAGTTATCAGGCATCAAAGAACAACAAATCATATCATTGTGAATGAGGGGGAGTGCAGAGTGGAGACCCAAAGCCCATCTGCAGGCAATTGGACAACCCCCAGTCAGGGTGCTATGTAGCAATGATGAAACACACAACTTTTCTCTAGTTCCTAAATGCTTCCTCCCCGCCCCCACTATCATGATCCCAATTCTGCCTTGTGGGTCTGGGTAGACCAGAGGATGTACACTGGAACAGATAGGAACTGGAAACACAGGGAATCCAGGGCGGATGATCCCTTCAGGACCAATCGTGAGAGGTGACACCGGGGGGGTGGAGGGAAATTGGGGTAGAAAGGGGGAACTGATTGCAAGGATCTACATATAACCTCCTCCCTGCGGGACACACTGCAGAGGAGTGGGTGAAGGGAGACATCGGACGGTGCAAGACGTGACAAAATAATGATTTGTAAATTATCAAGGGATCATGAGGGAGAGGGGAGCAGGGAGGGAGGGGGGAAAATGAGGAGCTGATGCCAAGGGCTTAAGCGGAGAGCAAATGTTTTGAGAATGATGAGGGCAATGAATGTGCAAGTGTGCTTTACACAATTGATGTATGTATGGATTGTGATAAGAGTTGTATGAGCCAGCAATAAGATGATAAATAAAAAGGATAAAGTGATTTCTAAGAGAAGCAAATGTGCAGGGTCACGGTCAGCTCTGAGGGAGGACAGGAAGCAGGAACTGAGGACGTGGAAGGAGGCTGCCATGATCTCTCCTCTTTGCTCTGCTCTCCCTTTAAATGCTCTTCGTTTCTCTGGACAGACTTGATTTCTCTTCTCTCCCCAGTCTACATGACCAAACGCGACTGCCTCAGAGTCCCCAAGTTTACCTGTTAGGAATCCAGGTGGTCACTCTTGATATTAACAAGAACATTTTTTTTAATCTGCCAAAAATAATCAGCTCGGTCTACACAGGATCAGTATCGCACATCACAACTCTGAGTGCTGACTTCTGCGGCTAGGGACGAGCAAGGGCTGGGAAAGTGCCTGGGTACGGGAGATTGTTGGCTTATAAACTAGAAAGCTACACCCAGAGAGGGCTGTCATACATATGCATTGACTCAGATGTTGAACTCTGTCTTCAAAATTCATAAAGCCTTCTAGAGGGGTTATTTATTGTATCTCACTAGAAATAAAAATGTCCATTTATTCATCAGGAGAGTACCCTGTCAGCTACTATGCATCTTGAACTAATGGTGTGTGTTGTGCTGAAGTGCCATCGGGTCAGTCCTGACTCAGCAACCTGACATACAACAGAGTAAAGTCCTGCCTGATTCTGGGCCATCCTCAAAATTGTTGTGTGTGAGCTCATTCTTGAAGACACTGTGCCAAGCCACCTGATGCAAGGTCTTCCTCTTATTCATCTACCCTTTACTTGACC